AGTAGAATAGGTAGCTGCTCAATGTATACTAGCCTAATTACAATATCCTTTTTGGCGTATCTTGTTTGACTGGGACATGTACTTACTTGTAGTCGATGGAGCTCCTGCGGAATTTGCCAATCTGAGAAAATGCTTCTTCCTCACACGGTTACAAAAAAGTGCACAAGCTAGAGCGTAACAAGACCATCATTCCGCACCCAAGCGTTTCTCATTTCGTGCCCGCGTCGCTGCGTTCGGTGCCCATATGTACTCTATTCACACTCCGTTTCATCGATAACTGCGCCAATTGGCGACGTTCTGCAAAAAAAACGAGTGCCCAAGCCTACTCCTAATAGGTGAACACTTCTCGCCTCGTTGTTTCCTTGCAACAACCCCTAAGTCACTCGTTCACACCCGATTTGTCCTCTCTTTGCGGCGTCCTTCCACTGCTGTCATTTGGGACACGTGTGTGTCGGTTTGGTTCTGCTGCTACGTGTGTGTCGGTCGGTTTGGTTCTGCTGCTGCTGTGTTCTTTTTTTGACCTTGTCCACACCGAGTGGCCAACTTTGGCACGTGTTCAGACCAGCTTCCACGCATCTCCTCCTCTACAGCTCGCGGCTTTCACTATCTCCATATCACAGAGGGTTTTCGCGTGTAGTTTGCAGACCACGACAGGGCGTAGTGAGGAGGGGCTCGTGATCGGCGACAACTCGCGTGCTATGGTCCGTTCGTGCAAATATTCACAATATTTTCCCCTGCACAAAGGTGCACTTTTCTCGGGGTGGGGGTACTTATTCCGAAATCTGAAAATCCGCGTAAATCGACGTTTCAAGGCGCATCTTCGTACGGAGATTTTTTTTTTTCCGTCCTTCGCTCGATATGTTCAGATATTCAAGAAATCTTGCTTACTTTCTGGAGGGCGGTGTTTTTTGCAGACACAAAATCTGAGACCGGATTTGGACAGCTCTCGTGATTTGCCACCGATAATTTTTTTCCGATTTCCAATTTGACAAAAAATAACGGAGTTACGGGCAAAAAACCGGATATTGGAGGGTATTTTGCTTAGTTTCTTGGGGACAATCCAACCGTACGATCCAAAAATAAAGTGCTGCAATCGATTCCTCGCGTGATTTCCCACCGATGATTTTTTTCCGATTTCAAAAAAAACTCGGGTGTCGGAGATATTTCGGGTGGTTTCACACGCCCTCGGGGAATTTTTTCCCGCCACACACACAGCACCGGTCGCCCCGGTGGTCTAGTGGGTAGCCGCTCAGCCTGCTAAGGGCCAGGTCATGGGTTCGAGTCCCGGCAGAGTGAGTTTTTTTCTCACTAAATAAATCCTGGTCTAGGATGAAAGCGACGCGCTGCAAAGCTCGTTTGTTAGTAAACCATAATCGACTTCGTAAGTCGCGAGGGAA